GGCAGTAGAGATACAAAGGATACAAATTACTCTCCTAAATAAACTTTGTACAAAGATTTTTCTAAAGGCCTTGGTATTTTTCAGTGCTTTGCAGATCAATTGACCCTGTTTGATCCCCATTTATAATCAAAGGGACAAATTTGTCTTCAATGATAGCTCATCTGTTTCATCTGTGATCTTCTCCCTTGCCATGCAAGTATCCTGTTTGTGTATATTAACATATTTATTTGGAGGTATGAGGAGACACGTGTAACACACTTGATAAACCACTGCTGCTTTAAAGTATTTTTTCAAACAAGAATTTATTATATAAATCAAGACTTTATTAAATGGCTGGGCATATATGTATAAATAGGAACTGGTCTTGAAGTATTGCACCCTTAAACTGAACAAAGTGATTAGGATAACTGATAGCTAAATAAGGTTTTTATGTGCCTGTGGGAGCCATATTAGGATTGATTTGACAAGTCAGTTCAGCTGTGGCAACAGTCATAATATCTAACACAACATTATGTTTTATTAGTAAAATCCTTAAGTGTAGCAAGCTGTTTGTGTCAAAACAACAGTATATTTTAGGGAAGAAAAAGGCTGGCTAGATACAAGCTACATCATCAGGAATGATAATATATTACAGCACTATTGCATTAAAGAGATCCCTACATCAGTAGTTAACAGTGCACACTGGAGTGCTTGTTCCAGCTACACAGGCAGTTTTGGGGAAAGCCTAAGAGTCATTCTTAATTTGGTATTTTAAAACATGATGGAAACTTCAATGCTGCATCCTTGTGTTTCTCTACTTCTTTTCATTAAAAAAAACCAACAGATTTGCTAGATATATTCAGTAAATAATTTGTATCTCTGACTTTGCCAGGAGATGCACAGTTCACAATAATCACTTGAATTACTCTATTTTTTTAAATAGTATTTAAGGCTATTTCAACAAGTACTTAATTCTGGTTTCCTCCTTTGTTGTTGCTTTACATATTTAATTTTAATAACTTTTATGTAATAGGCACAGTCCAGCCCATCTATCATGGATTAATCTCTTATATTTTCAAGTTATGAATCCTAAAAATCAGAACAAAGAGGCCATGTGATAGCATTAACCTTTCTGTAGGAAACTGTATTTTGTCTCACGTGAGGATTCAGGTTATTAACTAATTTTGCTGTTGCCCTGTCTGGTTTGCCTGAAACCTTCTTAGCAGAGAAATTTTAATGGAGTGCCAGTGATATATTCCTAAACTAGCAAGTTCTTAACGACCCTGGAAAGTGACTGCTTGATTACACTTTAACAGTATTTGCAAATAAAATCACAAGTAATTAAGGGGAAATCTCCAGGCTTTTGAGCAAGTTTGATGCATGATAACTGCCTGATTCAGCTTCATCTAGAGTAATGCTGTGTAGACAAGAGCTACTGAGATCAATAGCAACATAATGATAGTGGCAGAATTAAGTGAGTAACCTGAGAACTGTGTCTTCAAAATGCATGCAGCTGCCACGAGCCAGGGCCACACAGTGCACTCCTGCTTCCGTCCTAAATGTTCATCAAAAGACGCCCTGCAGGAAAATGGAGTTAGATGCTCTTTATTGCTGATCGTGTCTCTTGCCACATTTATCAGGGAAATTGGATTAGCAGTTGGCAGCTGCAGGTAGACAAGGTTCTGCAGTGATTAAATATGCAGCTTGGCTGCATTTGTTGTGACAGACCTTTAGTAAATTCTACTGTAAGCACCATCTGTCTAATTTGTATAAAGAAAACTTGGGGCTTTAAGCCACTGATAAAGAACTGAATCTGTTGCTTGATCATAAACAAAACTTTTGTTCTGAATTCTCTTAAATGTAATTTATTAGGTTAAAGCTATTTTTTTCTATCACGATGAATAAATAATAGGTGCAAAAGTGCTTTCAGGTACTTCATTTTGCAAGTACTGAAAACAAAACCAGTTCAGTTCTTCAATAAAATGCTTAGTATTCCGATCCACAGGGAGATGACACCGTTAAAATATCACTATGAAAATGGTCCAGGACTGCCAAATTCATTTAATTTGTGGTTTTTATTAGGACTTTTTAACTGGCTAGAGTTGGGGTTTTTGTAGTTTTTTAATATTTCTGAAATACACCATTGAAAAACAGTCACAACAAGGGAGCTCTTTCTTTTCAAAATACATTTGTAATCATTAAATCTGCATACAAAACATATGTTTAGGTTTCTTTTCCAGGGGGATCAAGTATAATTGAAGGCTGTTTAAGTAATTATGTGCTTTGCATTGTTTGGGTTTGGGTTTTTTTTTTTGCTACTTGCTTCTTCACCTTTTTTTCTGTGTAGGAAAAATGTCCAGTATTAAACCAGTGGCTGATTTTTCTGCTAAGAATGTCAAGGTTTCTCTTGACAATGCAGTTAAGTCCTGTATGGCCTGGGCAGCCACATCTCAGGAGTATTTGTTTGGAGTTGTGACATCATCAGATTTGCTGGGAACGCCTGAAAAAAAAAAGAGGATCTGAGGAAAAAGCAGTTAAATAGCAACATGCTATCTTTAGCTGGTTTGTAGAAACTCCATGCTGTTAAATTATTTAAAATCCTTGATTTTCAGCTTGCACACATTAAAAGTTTTCACACTAAGTGCCAAATGTTGCAAACAGCACTTTAACAGAATGATTTTGCTTTGATCCCTGTAGCAGTTCCTGAATAATTTATCACAGGTTATTGCCTTAATTCTGGAGAGGGATAGAGCAATAAAGGCAGATGAAAACACTCCAGTTGAAACACCTTGGGGCCTGCTCATTCCTCTGACACGGCTCTTTTGTTGGAACTATTTAGAGGTTATTAAGACGTGTCTCCAGAATTAAGAGTATGCTGTAAGGATGAAGACAGCCATCTTAATTCTAAAGACAAAGCGCAATGACCCTTCACCTTTTTTTTCCTTTGTTGTTATTATATAGTAGAATTATGAGGGTAATATTATAGCTGCACCCAGTAGTGCCACTATAGTTAAGGGTCTGTCAGACCTTCCATTTCAAGCCCCGTTTTGGGGGTGGGCGGCGTGAGGAGTCTCTGCTGTTTGGAATTGCCTTAGTCAGACACTTGGCACATGTTGGCAAGTCAGAGAGTTTGTGGTTTTTTCTGTCAATATTTAAATCTTCAGCTCCTTTCCTTTGAAAAATCCATGGGAGAATCTTCTTTTGGGACTTTGAAGCAAAACACTTGAATTTATTTCAAACATTGCTTCAATTAATCTCAAATCAACTTCTTCCCTGACATTCAGGGACGAACGTTTCCAAACCGAAATTTGAACAGAATCATTTGATGAGCAGGAAAAGCAATGGATAAACCCACATGCTACTGACAAGCTCTTCTTGCTCTCTTTCTTGTATTTAGTGTTCTTCGCTTCTCATCTTACTCATTTTGCAGTTTCTGGTGGTGTTATTAGCTGTCCCTTTGCCCCAGAAGTGGCTGGTGTCCGTGGTGAATGAAGCAGCAGCTTTGTCTACTCTTCCAATTACTCTGTTAAGTTTGCAAGGGACTTTGAATCCCACAGGATGACAGACAATAAGTAGACATACACGTGAATAATGTTACTTGCCAATAATAAATTGTATGCACATAAATGCTATTTGAAAACTCATAATACACTAAAACTAAATTACCTTGGGATTTTATGGCTTAGGGGATTTTTTTTTTTCGTTATCGAATGTGACTTAAGCAAAAAAAATCCAGGGTGATTTTTTGCTCCTATTAGTTGACAGGTATTTTTAGCAGTAACTTAAATGGATGAGGATTTGCCTCAGGATTCTGTAGGTTATTAGATGGGCTGTTTGGACATTGTCAACTCTAGGCAACATTATTTTATAAAGTTGCATTCTGATGGATAATATCTAAACCACTGAGTGGGCTGGGGTTTTCCAGGACAGGAATATTAGGGTGTCGCGTAGGTTGAGGTTGTTTTTTAAGAATAGTGCAGTTAATGGTTTGGGTTTTTTAATAACAATAGCTGAATTGAAAGTGTTGCAAACCAAGATATGTAGTTTATGTAGTAGTTGTTCTCCTGTCTTCAGAATTCAAGGTTTCTGAAGTTGCCTGGTGTTTGTGGAGCATCCCAGGAATCTGGGACCATCGCTTGAAGAGAGTTGTGCTCTCCTCTTATTAATAGTTTTTAAAGTCTCACAGCAAAACTGTTCCTCCTACATAATTGCAGAAGAGTGTGTTCTTACAGCCAGTTTGTTTTATAAGAACAGAATAAGCATGTTAGAGGAGTTTGGGTTCGGCTGGTTGTTTCTTTCTAATTCATGTTCCAGAGACCATGACAAGATGCTGAGCTCTTTCTCTCCGAGTGTGTGATCCAACAAAGGCAAGTTCAGGTCTTGCCAGGGGCTGTAGCTTCCCTTCTTCCCTGCTCCAGCCTTCCCTTTGTTCAGTTTTGCTTGCCTCCTTTCTTGTGGGGCTAGATTGGGCAAAAGAATCAAAATCCATCTGGAAGATTTCTGCTTCCCTGTTGATACTGTTCCTTCTCTGCATCCCTTCAGGAAGAGGTACCAAGTGTTGCTGCTGAGATATTTTAACTCTGTACATTTTGGCCACCACGTCTGTTATCCAGTGACTTTCTGTGCTGACAACACAGCACACAAAGTAGAAAATACAGATGAATATAAAGTTACAGTTTTATATTGCATCTCCTCCGTATTGAACACTTCCTCTCCAGTGATTTTCGAGTCCCATTAAAGTTAATGAGAGTTGAGACCTCGCAGCATCTTGCAAGTTCAGGCCATTTCAGTGCACAACAGAAAGGAAATGCAAATATTAAAATACTCCTAGCAGCCTCACCAGTGCTTTGTAGAGAAGTCAATTTATCCTTGGCTTAATCTATGTGTGTGCCGTCCAAGTCAGTTGGACTAATGGGTCTGTGTGTGAAAAGTGCAAGATTACATTGAGCAGTTTAACAAGGCATCAGCCTCATTTGCTCTTTATGTGATCAATTAAAATTAATATGTGAGCCTTACCTTTTGTATTTCTCAACCCTGTAAATACTACAGTGTTAGCACCAAGTGGTACACATTATTACAAACTCTGGATAGAAAGACAGAACTCTTGACTGGCTTTGTTTTCCACAATTCTGTGTATATTTTTTACCAGACTCTGCAGTCATTTATTATGGGAGGGGGAAAAAGTACACACCCTACCTGCAATGTATGGATAACATTTATTCAAACTACTTAATTATCAAAAACCAAAATTTATGTCTAAGTAAATGGAAAAGTTTTCTTACATTATTGAAATATTTTTCATTCACTGGTGTTTCTTATTGATGTCAATTAATTATCCTGAAAACATCCCTTTAGTAGGCACTAATTATCTATGCATAAAGTGTTGTCTGCATTTGTTCTGGAAGCCACACACTAGTCATTAAAAAAATCATCTTAGAACTAATGTTAACACAGATAAAGATTTGAATGGTCTTCTGTAAAGAAAAAAAAGTCCCTTTTTGAAGACACCTAACTTGGAAAATTGCTGTTTATTTAAAAAAATAATTTAAAAAAAGATGTTAAAATAACACTACAGTGAGAAGCTCAGTGCAAGCTTCATTATAGCTTGTTATGAGCATCAGTCTTACACCTCATGGAAAATATTGTAAGCTTATATTAACGTTTTATTGTTATTGTTTCTTTAAATGTATTAATACAGGAAGCACTTTTAAACTTGGAATACAGAGTGTTCATATATTATGCTTTAATTTGCAGGAGGATGGCACATCAGCTCATCCTGAGCACTGGGCTAATGTTAGCACTGGAAAACTTGCTTGTTAAAAGAATCTTTGTGTATTTGAAGGGGGGGGAAAGACTACAAAAATAAGCGAGCCAGCCATTTAAACTAATGAATCAAAATCAGCTATGTGGTCATTATTGGCTGATGATTCCCCCATCTGCTCAGTGCTAACGTGAAAATCAATTAGTGTGTCTCTTTCCCACTGGCAGCGTATGTTGGTGGGGCTGGCGAGGGATCTTCGCGGGATCGTCTCTGCTCTCAACACAAAGACCAGCTACTCCATGCTGTTCCACTGGATGTATCCTGATTACCCGGTGACAATACCAGCTCTGTGCACAGAGGGATACCAGGCCCCTTGCATTAGTTTAATAGTGTGGCACAGTGGGGAAGAGGAAACAAAGCTAAATGAAACTAATGTGTAATCAGCTAAAATTACAGCACAATGGCAACCGTGCCGGTAGCTGGGGAGGGACCCAGAGGGGGTCACTTTGGTGCTGGGTCCTCTAGAAAACAGAGCCTGGTGCTTTTCTGCCCTTCAGAAATCCAGAAGGTTTTAGTGGAAGGAAAAAAAAAAAAACAAAACAAAAAACCCCAAACCAACACACCAAACAAAGCTGTGTCTCTAACTCCAAACACAATGTACCTACATTTGCTTTAACATCAGAAGTGCTTAAAAAGACGATAGGAGAGCTGTCTGGGGAGCTTGCACTCCCTGGTATGAATCATGTCTTTAATTTAGTCAGTTCCTTTCTATTTATGTCAACTCTATTAATATCCCAACACCTGCAGCCTTCTTGATCAGGAGGAAAATGGACATCTGAAAAGAAAACCCAAAATCTTTAGGTTGTAGTTTTCTTCAGTAAGTAATGACAACAGAACTCTGGTTGCTTTAAATATTGGCTACATTTTTATGCCAACAAATACAATAATACTCGTGAGTATTTCTTAATACTTTAGAGAAATGCTTTGTATTTTTATAAAAACAGTAGCTGTAATTGTCTCTTCAGGCATCCAGTCTGAAGACTATAACATTAGTAACAAACTGCTGAAATATATAGTGACGTAACTATGAAAATATGTGTTTTATAATTTAGCTCTTGCCAGACTATGGTAGTTAATTATGTCTCTGTTTTGGTTTTTTTTTAATGGACAGAAAAAAGTAACATTCTAGTAAAATTCCATGTTTTACTAGAAATTAAGCTTTTTAAGATATCTTTATTTTAAGACAATAATGAAACCCTACTGTTCACTAATAATCTTCCTGGTTAAGACACAGGAATGCATCGATATAAAATTGGAACTAGGAGATTAGCATGTAAGGACTGAAAGGCTGCACAGCAGAGCCTGGTATCATCTGACAGACATCCAGGTGTGGTGGGGTCCTGCTGACCAGCCAGATAAGCCCTAGTTCAGACCTTCACAAGCCTGCAGTGATTCTGTGTGCAGGCTCAGCCTGCAGAAAGTCAGTCCCAAAGCATAAAGCAGTGTCACCTGGGTTTCTTTTAAAACATCCCTTCATTCCAGTTTCAGAGAACTGAAAGAAAAACAAAACAAACAAAAAAAACACCCAAAAAACCCAAACAAAAAAACTACTGAAGCCAGGCTGTGAATTAGCATCTCATTTTCTAGTGAGCACCATTGGGTACATTTAACTTTGTTAGTACTGTTTGTGCTTGTGGTACCCTAAAACTTAATAATAAATCAGGAAGATGCATCAAATCAGATTGGTGCTGCTTCCATTTCAAGTTCTTCTGACTTTGTTTTTCCTAGCACAGCTTGAGCATCATGCTCTTCTGTGCAGAACTTCAACTCTGCTGTTGGAGAAGGAGGGATCACAGACTTAACCTCCTCTCCATCTAAAATAAATTGATTCATCCAGGAAGGTGTTGGGTTTTTTTATACAACATTCCAGGATGTCCCATCCTCAGGATCCTTTCTTGCTTTATGCTTTTTATTTAATTTATTCCTTCCAGTGTATTAAGTTAATTTCAAATAAATGAAAGCAGCCTCTGACTTTTGGATTCAATTATTTTGTATGAACACTAAAAATGGATTGGCATGTAGCTTTTTGTGTGGGATTCAAAGCTCAGACCTTCTCAGTTTCTTTTCCCTTGCAGAGGTTCAAATGAATCTTTTTGGGCCTCCTCACCAGTGGCTGCAGAGGGTAAGTGCACACTTCTCTCCAGTGGATTTCACCACATTTGGCTGAGTCCAGGTATTGATCCAAAGCATTATAGCAGAATAAGCTGCTATTATTACAACTCTCATTTGCTGTATATAAAGACAAAAATGGTACATGGGAGGAGAAGGGAGGGTCAGATACCAGTTTTATCATACAAAGCTTCAATATCCTTTGATTAACCTGCTGCTTTTGCTGTTTCACAAATATCCTTGGAAATGGCTTGAATAGCAAAGCTCTTTTTCAAACAGATTTTACTCTGTAAGGGATGAAGAACTAGCATTTCAATACTGCAAATACAGAATGTTAGCCAAAATAAATGTGATTTACTTGCATTTGTTCAAGAAATAAACAGTACAAAGAGGCAAGGGAAAAAAGGCTAAGCTTGTAATAGACCATAAGATTGTGTTTAATTCTATACTGAAGACTATCAGAAATAGTCACTTGTAAATTGTGGGTAGAAGAACATCTTGATAAACTTCTCAAGTGATTGCAGGAAATATTTGGGGTTTATGCCCTATCCATATCAAAACAAATGATACTTTGTGATCTCTCACCTGAGAGATTCTTCTCTTTTTTGTTCTGATCACAATGTTTAGGATTTAACTTTTGTCCAGTAGATGGCAAAAATGAGCAGAAATAATTTCTTTTAAGTCCTTTTTGATCCGGGGAGGGGGGGGAGGCCCAGGGAACACAGTTGTATCTTGTGTTTTACCATTATATTGAGTTACTGGGGTGATGGTTTAGAGGTGACTCGTCAGGTATGCTGGAGCTATGCTGGGCTGCCAAACAGGACTGGTTTTTAGCAGGCTTGCTTATACTAATTGAGTTTCTCTAGCAAATCAGGCTCCTTGGAAGAAGGCCAAAGGCTTTTCATAATTGTATTGACAAGAAAATGAATATGATAAATGGTGTTCATTCAGCTGAGACAAGATTTATAGTTTTCCTCTGGCAAAGGATGAAGAGAAAATACTTATAATAATAGTAAAATTTGTTTTAAAGTTGTATTAGGTGATCTCTCAAAAGACTTCATTAAAATATGTCCAAATATTTTAAGCAGCTTCAGGTGTTTAGTGCAGCACCTTGCCAAGGTATCTGGTGATGAAAGATGAAAATCATTCAGCTGAGACAAGATTTATAGTTTTCCTCTGGCAAAGGATGAAGAGAAAATACTTATAATAATAGTAAAATTTGTTTTAAAGTTGTATTAGGTGATCTCTCAAAAGACTTCATTAAAATATGTCCAAATATTTTAAGCAGCTTCAGGTGTTTAGTGCAGCACCTTGCCAAGGTATCTGGTGATGAAAGATGAAAAAAACATCACAGATAAACAAAACAAAACAAAACAAAAAACCCAAAACCTGGATATGTAATTCTCTACTGAAGACTATCAGAAATAGTCACTTGTAAATTGTGGGTAGAAGAACATCTTGATAAACTTCTCAAGTGATTGCAGGAAATATTTGGGGTTTATGCCCTATCCATATCAAAACAAATGATACTTTGTGATCTCTCACCTGAGAGATTCTTCTCTTTTTTGTTCTGATCACAATGTTTAGGATTTAACTTTTGTCCAGTAGATGGCAAAAATGAGCAGAAATAATTTCTTTTAAGTCCTTTTTGATCCGGGGAGGGGGGGGAGGCCCAGGGAACACAGTTGTATCTTGTGTTTTACCATTATATTGAGTTACTGGGGTGATGGTTTAGAGGTGACTCGTCAGGTATGCTGGAGCTGTGCTGGGCTGCCAAACAGGACTGGTTTTTAGCAGGCTTGCTTATACTAATTGAGTTTCTCTAGCAAATCAGGCTCCTTGGAAGAAGGCCAAAGGCTTTTCATAATTGTATTGACAAGAAAATGAATATGATAAATGGTGTTCATTCAGCTGAGACAAGATTTATAGTTTTCCTCTGGCAAAGGATGAAGAGAAAATACTTATAATAATAGTAAAATTTGTTTTAAAGTTGTATTAGGTGATCTCTCAAAAGACTTCATTAAAATATGTCCAAATATTTTAAGCAGCTTCAGGTGTTTAGTGCAGCACCTTGCCAAGGTATCTGGTGATGAAAGATGAAAAAAACATCACAGATAAACAAAACAAAACAAAAAACCCAAAACCCTGGATATGAAAGTCATTTATTCTTCCTGAAATATTGATATGTCAAGCTGTCAATGGTGATTCCAGTACCACAGCTTTGGGAAGTTTATTTGCCTTTTGTATTCCTAACACGTGGGCTCTGCAGTCTGGAGGTCAGTCCTGAACGTGCAGGTGTGGCCTAAAAAACCTCTATCCCAGTTGGAGTGAACCAAAACCTGTTCTTAAAAGGGGATGATTTTCCTTTCCTGGGATGTATGTTAGGTGCTGGCCCTTAGGCAATCTCTCCTGTCTTCCTTCCACTTGCTTCTCAGTATTGAATGACTTCTGTTGTCTCTGGAAGAAAGAGGTTGCAGTAAGAAAATGAGTTGCAAGGATTAACCGAAGAGGTTGACTCAGAGTTGCAGTCATCTGGAGAGCACAGTGTGTGTGTGTGCATGAAGTTGCCTGGATAAAAATATCTGTAGAGATTCATAGACACTGAGTGTATAGAAAAGTGACCTGCCATTGAGATGTTTTATCTAGTGGGCATTTAAAAGTTCCAGTTGGCCTAGATACTCAGATGGCTGATGGGATGCAGCTTCAGATGTGGGTCACTAGAACAAGCCAAGCAATCTTTTCACCAAACAGCCACGGTTACACATGGATCCCAACTCTCAACAGAATAAAACCATGGGCAGCAATAAGTCAGCTTGTTCAAGTTCATTCTGGTTTTGAAGAACTAAATCTTTAGGTTTGTATGTTTTAAGGATTCAGGATTAGGTGCAAACTTGAAGGAGCCCAAGAAGCAGCTGTAGCCATTGAGGTTTCCTAATGACAACACAATTTGGCACGAAGCAAGGCTACCTGCTCAGTGATCTGTAATAGCTTCTACTGCCAGTTGCTTTGATTCAAACCTCAGCATCTTTTTTTGCAATTCAGGTTCCTTTGAACTTGAACTGACTGTTCATGGTTAAGTTCATTAATTAGCCAGGTTGCTTGAAGCTTGTGCCTAAAAACACCTAAGAATAATATCACGTTTAAAACCAATTTGTTCCACTTTATTGGACTTATTAAAAAAATATAAATTGCCAAAGCCTGGCTTTTCTAAAATCTGCCTATAGTCTCCAGTCTACATACACTCAGTGCTTAAGTTTTTTAATTAAGGTAGCTAATAATATTCAATATATTACTGTCTTAGATTTGGCAGTAGGGTTTGGCTGCCAAGTGACTCACTTCTCTATTAAATCTTCTGATACAGTCAGTAACTCATAAGATTTTGTTGTTGTTATATTGCAATCTGCTAGACTTAATTTTTTCCTGTATTCTTTTAAATACTGTTTTAAAAGAACAGAGATCTCTTGGGTTGCTGATGAGCAAACAGCTCTCCTGAAAATGTTCTTAGGAATCTCATGGTCTCTTCCATGCAGTTTGCCTGAATTCTGTTCTTGAATGCTCTGGAAACAACTTTGTACCATCACATTGTTCCCAACCATTTGTATAGCAGGTATATATGAAGTGGCACTTAAATTTGAGGCTGAGGATTTGCTAATATGTAAATGTGTGCTGGTTTTAAACTAAATTGCCATTTGTGAATTATGCCATTCTTTAAAAATCCAGGCTCATTTTATACAAGTATTACAGGTTAGCCTCTCATGTACAAACAGCTTTCCTTTTCCTTCATTCCAGCTCTGGTAGATCAGCTGTTTCCCACTTAACCATTAATGCTTCCAAAGCACTTAGTTTTTGAAGCAGAGACTTGTGTAAATGTGTAGGTTCTGGCAGTGGCCCTGGCAGGACTTGCTGCCAAGGTCCACATCTGGCTCACCCACCTCATGGTGTAGCACAGGGAAAGTTGTTTTGCAAGATGTTCTTTTATCAGTCTGTTCTTTAACTCAGTTTGGTGCAGATACCCTGCCTATATTTCTGTCCTTCAAAGAGCTGTTGAGCTGTGGTACCGTGAGCCTGCCTGTACAACCCCCATCCTGAAGCTGATGGCAGAATTCATGCAAAACAGGTAAGAACCACATCAAATTGGTAAGTGATGAAGAATGCAGTGGCATCCATCCTCTCTGCCAGCTCTCTGTGCTTTTCTTGTCCTCATCATGTCTGACTTTGACTTTAAGACTGCAGCTTTTGTATCTCTGAAGAAAATTCCCAAGCAGGACTCAGCTTCAGTGCCATTATGGTGTTTTACCCAAATGGTAGATGTTACAAAATCAGCTGGTAAGGATTCATTCAAGGAATAGATATGAGACATTACAGTGATTTTATACTCAATGTTAGAAGTGTTTGCTTTAACCAGGGGTAAATACTGGCTCTGGAATTAAATGTTGGAGAATTCTGCTGCAGGCTGATGTTTTGCTATAAGCCAAGCAGCATACATGTGTGCCTGTAAAACCACAACTGATGTTACAGTTTCTTTTGCAGCTCAACTCTTCCAGCCAAAATAGGAAAGAATGGTGTCTAATACAGCAATAGTTCTAAACAGCACATAAGTAGCTTCTCCCACATCAAAAGTCTTTCTGTGGGCGAACCAAAAAGGCTCAGAGTGTTTCTGGGAGGTGATTTCAGTACTTCACATTGCAGCAGTTAGAATGAAATTCCTGTTTTACCACAAGGAGCAGAAAATTTATTTGGTGAAATTGTCATTATACTTGGAAATGTCTCATGTACTGCCCAAAGGGAAGAAAATATTTGTAAATGACAAATTCATAGTGAAAGTCTCTGTGCTGGGTATCTTCACGACCCAAGACTTTCAGCAAAGAGGTGTGTGTTCTCATCATTTCTCATTTTACCTTGCAAATCAAACCTACTTATTTACAAAGGAAAAAAAGTTGAAATATTTGAAATTTGAAGAAAATAGTTAGTTTCATGACAGCAAATGGTGCCTTAAAGTTCAGACCTGGCTCCCAGTCAAACGCTGGGGTGTGTGGTGTGTACTTACTCCCTGCAGGGCTGCACACACCCTGAGGCAGAGTTCCCTGTTTCTTCATTGTGGTGACTTGCTTGCTGTCACTCCCTCCTTGGTGTGTGTCAGCTGATTCTGTCTGTCATCCTGGCAGGAGGACCACAGATTGCTGGGCAGGTTACTCAGGCTGCCACGCACAGGCAATGTAGCTGTTAGTGCTGCAGCTCCTTCTAAGGAGGAGATTGTTCAAGCACAGCACAGAACTCTAATAATGGTAAACACAGCAAAGAGGAACTGGGACAATAAATCTTATGCAAAAGACAGGTCTTCAAGCTGCTTTCATATTCATGTTTTTCTTCTACCTATTGCTATGCAGAAAATCTGCCTTGTTCCCCCCAGAAAGTGTCACCTGGGAGGGTGTGTTTCCAGCAGCCATGTACTGCAGCAGGTTTGCAGGTTACAACAGCTTCACACCAGACACTTTGACACGAATAAAATATGTTATAGAGTATCAGACTGTGCATTGTGCCACTCTGATCCTGAGAGGAGGTGCTGGGTTTGGGGTTTTGTCTCTGCCAGCCATTATCACCTTGTGCCTCTGGAGTACCCAGATCTTTTATCCACGGCACGTTTTATCCATCTATAAACAGCCAGATTTACTCCAGAGTCTGCAGCAAAGGACCCTGCAAATAAGGGTTCAGACAACAAAAAATAGGATTTGCAGCAAAGGAAGATCCCTACTGCTGTCTCTGGCAGGGGTGATACAATTGGTCAAAAGTGGGTGACTACCAGATAGGTCCCTGGGGTCACCCTGGTTTCCATCACTCAGGGATGACTCCTTTCCCTTCCAGCCCCAGCAGACTCAGGGTAAGTTATGCTCAGGTTACTTAGAAGCTTAAGACCTACATTTGCAGTTAACTTTTAGGCCTGGACTAGGAGATGGGCTTCTTTATCACAAAGACAAATTGGAGAGACAGGGACTTTGGCAAGGACTCTGTTGCATTCACAGACTGGGGACAGAGTGGTTGGTGCTGGCTTTGGCAGTGCCTGTGCATCAGGGGAGACAACATGGGGCAATCTTCAGGTCTGAACCTCCATACAAAGCACGTGTTGCAATTCACACCTTGTGACTGCCACAGGTTTTATGTATGGGAATAACCAGTGGGGATTAGCCTGTTTATTCAAGCTCCACAGATACAAAAGCAGGGTAAAAGTTCACCTGGCTGCTTGGATTATGGGACCTTTGTAGATTCTTCTGGGCTGTCTGCAGACACAAGATGTTCCCTGGTCACTGGAAGCTGCATCTGTTGTCTGCTCACCTTTTCTGCTTGAATTTTGTCTTTTTTTGTCACGTTCCTTTGGCAACAGAAGGAGACAAGAAGAGTGCAGAGAATTGAATTTTTGTAATCAGCAAATGTTTGCTTTGCTTTAGGAATAATCCTTTGCAGTTTTCTGCTTCGATGACCATCTGAATGTTTTTGCTGTTATTTTTTAGATCGCAACGTTTAAATTTTGATGTATCCTCTCCCAATGGAATTCTGCTCTTCAGAGAAGCTAGTAAAATGATTTGTACCTATGGTGGGTATCCAGTAGTGTTTCCTCTGCAGTGGGATTCTTTGCCTGTCCCGTGATACAGAAATCCTGTTAGTTGATATTCCTGAGCACTGATGGGTTTGTGGAATATGTCTCAGGGCTGTAGCTTTTCCAGGCAGTGTTATCCCTTTGGAAAAGCTCAGGAAGTTGAAAGCTCAGGAATTTCTTAGCTCAGGGCTCATTTGTGTAGCAGAGTTACTTGTGTTGCTCTTTTCACTTGCAGGCCCATCCTTCTAGGCACTGTGCATGTATTCCAGCAAAGATACAAATGCTCCCGAGGTGTTTGATCCAGGCTGCTGATTGATAGGTGTGGGTTGATTTTATGTATTCAAATTATATTCCAGCAGCTCCAAAACATAATAGGACCATAACAGCTTTGCCCTAGAGCGCTGTTAAAATTGTTTATAATAAGTTGCTCCATTTTACTACTCCCACTCATCCTCACAACCGCAACAGGTCTTTGACACCAGCAGCTTATATTACACTCCAACTAACTTTGTAGCTCACACTTTTGCTGCCTAAATATTTTGAAAGGAATATTACCAAGTTTTTGTAGGGCAGCTTCATTTGTAGTTTGTTTGTGTAAACAAAAAGAGCCATAAATGTCCTGTTACTCTTAGAGGAAGGAAACTGGTGCATCAAATTTACTTTTACTGCCTTCGGGTTGCTTTTTGGGTCTGGAAACTGTGTTAGTTGGCTGTCTGTTTAAAAAAGACCTTCCAATGTCATTTTGCATGTGATCAATAGGGCATGGAAACAGTCTACACAGAATCCATAGAGCATTTACTTACTGCAGAAAAAATTCCACCCATGTAACTCTCAGCTCTTGCAAAATCTTCTTTCTGTTTCTTTTTCAAGTAGACCATGTAGTGAGCTTGTTCAGTTATGTTCTGAAGTCAGTTTGTTAGAATGATTAAGCAAAATAAAAACAAGGTTCTCCATGTAGGAAAAGATAAAAAGCAAACATTTAGATTTCTGTTGGCCTTTGTGCTTCATTCCTGTGAGCTTTCTTTTGATGATTTTATAAAAAATGAATCAAGTGGAGCACGATGATGATTCTTCAGCCCTGCTTGTCTTACTGTGCCTGATCCCACTGGAGTGACATTTTCATTTTCATTATTATTATTGTTATTATTTCAATCAGCTTTTGCCATCCTTTCTTATAAAAAACATACTGAATTGTTGAGCATCTATTCATCTCAGTTATTGGCATCAAGTTTCTAAACCCTTCTGAGGAAACCCACTAGTTGGTTTCAACCTGCTTTGCTCCTTATTCATTCCCTAAAAGACACTTTGTAAAGAAACCTTTGGCTTTCAGTTCCAGCTTTTATGGTGTGTGTGTGTGTGTGTGTGTGAAGTTCATATCATTCTTATGGGCAACAGGAGAGGTGCCTGAGGACTGGAGAATAGCAAATGTCACACCTGTTTACAAGAAGGGCAAGAAGGAGGACCCAGGTAACTACAGACCGGTCAGCCTCACCTCCATCCCTGGAAAGGTGATGGAACAACTTGTTCTTGTCACTATCTCCAGGCACATCAAGGACATGGGGGTCATCAAGAGCAGTCAACATGGTTTTATCAAGGGTAAATCATGTTTGACTAACCTCATAGCCTTCTATGAGGAAATTACTAGGTGGATAGATGACGGTAGAGCGGTAGATGTGGTTTATCTTGATTTCAGTAAAGCATTTGACACCGTCTCCCACAGCATCCTTGTAGAAAAGTTGATCAGGTATGGGTTTGGTGATCAGGAAGTAAGGTGGATTAGGAACTGGTTGAAAGGAAGGAGCCAGAGAGTTGTAGTCAATGGGGCAGAATCTGGTTGGAGGTGTGTGACTAGTGGAGTCCCACAGGGGTCGGTACTGGGACCGGTGTTGTTCAACATCTTCATCAACGACCTGGATGAGGGTATAGAATGTACCCTCAGCAAGTTTGCTGATGACACTAAGCTGGGAGGAGTGGCTGACACACCAGAAGGCTGTGCTGCCATTCAGAGAGACTTAGATAGGCTGGAGAGTTGGGCGGGGAGAAACATGATGAAATTCAACAAGGGGAAGTGCAGAGTTTTGCATTTGGGGAAGAACAACACCATGTCCCAGTACAGGTTGGGGGCTGACCTGCTGGAGAGCAGTGTAGGTGAAAGAGACCTGGGGGTCCTGGTAGACAGGAGGATGACCATGAGCCAGCAATGTGCCCTTGTGGCCAAGAAGGCCAATGGCATCCTGGGGTGCATTAGAAAGGGTGTGGTTAGTAGGTCAAGAGAGGTTCTCCTCCCCCTCTATTCTGCCTTGGTGAGGCCACATCTGGAGTATTGTGTCCAGTTCTGGGCCCCTCAGTTCAAGAAGGACAGGGAACTGCTCGAAAGAGTCCAGTGCAGAGCTACAGAGATGATTAAGGGAGTGGAACATCTCCCTTATGAGGAAAGGCTGAGGGAGCTGGGTCTCTTTAGCTTGGAGAAAAGGAGACTGAGGGGTGACCTCATCAATGTTTACAAATATGTAAGGGGTGAGTGTCAGGGAGATGGAGTTAGGCTTTTCTCAGTGATGACCAGTGATAGGACAAGGGGTAATGGGTGTAAATTGGAGCATAGGAGGTTCAAGGTGAATATCCAAAAAATTTTTTTTACTGTGAGAGTGACAGAGCACTGGAACAGACTGCCCAGGGAGGGTGTGGAGTCTCCCTCACTGGAGACATTCAAAACCCACCTGGATGAGTTCCTGTGTGATGTACTCTAGGTGACCCTGCTCTGGCAGGGGGGGTGGACTAGATGATCTTTCAAGGTCCCTCCCAACCCCTAAGATTCTATGATTCTATGATTCTCAGCCCTGAAGTATTGGTGGCTCTTGTGCATAAGCGCCAGACACCACTTTCTGGCCCATGCTAGAATTGAATTATGCAATATAAAAGAAGATTTCAGGACAGTACAGATTAACAATTTAAGACTAAGTTGTGGAATCTGTTGGAACCTGGGCCCAGACACCTGTTGCCCTCTTTTGTTAGATGATGCTTGTTGTGAAAGATCTTCAGGAATGGGTGGCATCTGTTGGGAACTGTGTGCCACAGAAAGGAGTGAAATGACCAGAAAAGCTTTCTCTCCTGCTTCTCCTTCCTGTCTTCCACAACCACTTTGCTATGGGAGGCTGACGTTGTACTTAGCTCAGATTGAAGTAGCAAGAGGAGACCTGCCCTCCAAAAATCAAATTTAAAATCCCCAATCAACCAAAAGTGAAGGAAAAGTGTAGAGGTTAGAGAAAGCCACTCAGTATCTGTATGGGTTGGGTTGTTTTTTTTTTTCCCATTCTGCTTTTAAAACTTGTTCATATTATTACCAGTATCTAGAAGGGTCCATCAGTGATGTTACCACTGCTTAGTTGTGACATTTAGAGAAATTCTTCAGGTTTTCTTTTCTGTGAGTGATTGCCAATATTTATTCCAGGACTGGACTCACTGCAAAATCAGCATGAAAGACCTCCCAGTGCAGCTGGTGAACTGGCCAGTCAAAGCAGTGGTTTCAAAGGATCCAGCTGGTTCCTGCTGGCCCAGGTGGGCAGCACTGGCTGAGCTGTGGCTGCTGCAATAACCATCCTGGCTCAGTGTGACTTCAAACTGCTGCAGCTAGTTCTGAAGTGGGCACTGCCTTATAGTCTGGGAAGATTTTACTACCCCCCACTATAAGTATTTCAAGATAGAGCAATTAATCAGCTTTGAATAATTGTAGTTAACATTTTTAGCTTTTATCACCAACCACTAGTTTATGAGGGTTCCATCCCAGTGTACAGAAAGATATAACTCTTCTGGAAATACCTTGTAAGGATTCATTAGGTTAGTTACATCTGATCATTTGAACATACAAATCCCTGTAAAAAATATTGTTATTAAGTGACTTTGCATTAATTTTAAGTGCCTTTCTGAAAAACTTGATATCTAAATAGTGCTTTTAAGCCAAACTTGATAATATTCTGTGACTTATAAAAAAATAATTTGTCTTTTAAGCATATGTGATCTTGGCAGACATCTGGGGAAAGATAAACAAGTGAACCAGGTGATGGTCATAACGTGCACTTTGGTGTTCCTGAGCCATCTTGCCAGTCCCACATTCTGAAAAATGGTTTGATTCAGTTAAAAGCATGAACACATATGTGCCTTCTAATCCTGAGGGTCTGTTCTCAAGTGTTCTGCTACTGCAAGTAACTTAAAATTCTGAAAATAGTTGAGATTCTCACATTCAGCATGATTTTATGGCTGAAGCATTAGAGAGAGAATAGCAGGCACACAGTAAATGTCAGGGGATGACAACAGAGGATGTGCTCATTTGTCTTACCAAGGCACCCAAACCTCTTGTATATGTCACAGCTCACACTGAGCTCCTCAGAGCTGATCCAAAAGACACTTAAAACTCAATATAGATCTGACTGAAATCTCAACTATAAGAATTGCCTTTTTAAACTGACAGAGACAGACAGTGATGACATGAGACAGAGGGGGGAGAAGAAAAGCAAACATCTCTTTCTTTCGTCACCCTGTCCTTGTGGGAAGGTCCTTTCAGTCAGTCCAGTGACTGAGTGGGTTGCCTTAAACTCTGCCCAGCCTCTTCTCAGGCCTGAGAGATTCTTCCCATCACCTGGAAACCTGGCTGGGTTTGCTCCTCTTGGCAATCACTGCCTGAACACCAGCCTTCCAACTCTGCATGTTACCTCTCTTCCTTTCCATGGGCTGGGCAGTGAGAGTTTCCTTCCCACAGCCCAGCCCTGCAGGGAAAGGTTTGGTCCCTCTCCTGCAGGCACTGTAGGGTAGCCTGTTTGCTCCTTCTTCTGAGAAGAGTTTAACATAAAGCAATAAGTGAAAGTATGGCTTAATTGTATTGTATTTCCATTGGTAAGGGAAATTTAAATGTGTTTTACAACCAGATTTTGGCTTATTCTCTCTCACATGTAATGGCATGCAGAAAATGCTACTAAAAGCCTTATGGTCAGAAATTACACCTG